ATCAAGATTCTATTTCAAACAAACTCCAAAACTAATTAAATCCAGTATCACATTTGGAATAAACTTTATCTTGATACATGTACAAGTATAAACAAATAAACAATTAGTATGTCTTTAATAATTTCTTGAATGATTATTTTTATTATTATTGTAAATGTCTAAATAAACTCTAAGTTCTAGAATTATGCTCATCAATATTAAGATTTTATATATATTTATATAAAGGTTATTAATACTTACAACTCCTAAAAGTGGGCTTGGGTAGAACTCAATCACACCAGAACACTTCTATAGCAACACAGTCAATAACCCACAACTTCACCCACACCAGAGCAGTCGATCACACTTCTATTCCTTACCAGCTACAATAATTTACAGCTACATTAATAACAAAAAATAATCTACAGATACAAATCAATAACACAACCAGTTGGCCTTCACCAGTCCTGAAACACTGACCTTTATAGACGCTTCACCAAATTCACAGAAGTCGATCCAGCTTTATCAGATACTTTATCAGATAAAATTCAAGCCTGTCAACATGTGATCAATATGGTTCATTCTATGATAGGAAAAGGATATTTTCATAATATTTCATTAGTATTTGAATTTTGTCTAAGTTCGAAGTTGCCAAAACAGCAATTTCAAACAATATTTTAAGATCAGATCACCAAAATAGACAACAATGTTAAAAACAAATCCAAACACACGCCATTTAGAAGGAAAGGCATCGATGCACAAACCAGAAAAATCACCAGACGGGGAAAAAGGGAAAGGAAACTCACTTGACGATTCCTCGAATTAACGTGGATACTAAACAAACCATGGAAATTTGAAGAGGCAACACTAGATATACCAAAAGAAAAGACTTGAACTGAAACCCATTAGATTCATGCATAAACTCCTTTTCTAGGTCATTAGGAAAGGAGTAAACCTGCGTTCAGGCATTTCATCAAAATCATACCATCGGTACTATCTCTGCCCCAATTTGAGAAGATAAAAGAGATGGGCCTTGATTCAACTGTTCAAACAAAATACATAATGTTTTCCAGGTAGTGTGTAACCTGAAGTTATTGATGAAGATGGTGTTGCCGGTCAATTGGAGAGGATTGGCCGGTGAAAATCGTTAGGGATTGGGATTTTTCAATTGAGTTTAGGGATTTCAATTGGGTTTTAGAAATCGATTTTACATTGTCAATGTGGGGGGTTGTGCGAGGCGAAAGACGAAGAACAAGAGGAGGAAGAAGAGCCGAGGCTCAAGTATCAAAAGATGGGAGGTTTACGACTGGCGATAGAGCAATTAAGAAAAGGAGTTGAGGGAGTTGATGGGAGAGAAGAAGAAATGTTTTAAGTTGAATAGGATTGGAAAATTAGAAAACAGGTCCAAGCTATTTTCATTTTCAGGCAAAAAATATTATTTGAGTAGGATTGATTTTCAAATTAGATTCCCTCAATAACTAAACAAACACTTATTCAACTATTTAATCTAAATAGGATAGCAGAATAATGATTCAAAATACCGCAACAAACAAGCCCACAAGTATTGATAACCTGATTTCAAAATCTTCTGCACCATTATGCCATGAGCATCTTGTTAACGATTCAACAAGTCATCATTGATAAGTGAAAATACCTGAAGAAACCACTGCAAATTAAACTGTAACAAGTTGGTCACCTTTTGAATTTAAGGCAAAGGACTGATCACCGCAGAAAAGAAAAAATATAAAAAAACATATAATGGTTCCGGAGCTTTACAAATGGACAAACCTGAGATGAACGTACATCAAATGAGGTATGTAATTCTTTGAATTTTACTCTCTTGCTTTCTAGATGTACCCAAAACATTTGAGCTCGGGGCAGCTCTTAAGCCACAAAATTTCAAGCAAAGTAAGGTTCAGAAAACCCTTTGAAGATAGCTACTGCAAGTCTGAGAAATTTTCAATTTTTAGCGAAGTTAGAGAGGTAGGCAACATCATTTCCATCTCTTCTTCCGGAAAGGACATTACTTCCAAGTATTTAATAATGCAGAGTTGTCTAAGAGATGTAAACTTCAAGAGCAGAGACGGAAACTTCCTTTTAACCATGCACACATTGCCAAGCAGTAAGCCCAAGTCCATGATCTAAACTGGGATTAAAAAAAAAATAATACTAAAATTGCAGTCAATTTCTTACAGTAGGCATCAAATTACTTTACCAAATGAAATGAAACGACATATAAGTATTAATACCCTGATTTCAAAATCTTCTGCACCATTATGCTGTGAGCATCTTGTTAACGATTCAATAACTCATCTTTGATAAGTGAAAATACCTAAAGAAACCACTGCAGATTAAACTGTAACAAGTTGATCACCTTTTGAATTTAAGGCAAAGGACTAATTACTGAAGACAAGAAAAAATAGAAAAAAAATATAATGGTTCCGGAGCTATAGAAATGAACAAACCTAAGACGAATGTACATTGAATGAGGTATGTAATTCTTTGAATTTTACTCTCTTGCTTTCCGGATGTACCTGTGATCTCTCTTTACTTGAGGAATGTGAGCTATCTTGGACCACTCCTCTTTTTTTATCTCTTCTGCACCATTTTCTTTTAGCAGATGACAATTTATAATATACAATTGCAAAAGTGAGGATGGCAAGCCCAAAACATTAGAGCTCAGGGCAGCTCGAAAGCCACAAAATTTCAAGCGAAGTAAGATTCTGAAAAACCCTTTGAAGATAGCTGTTGCAAGTCTTAGAAATTTTCAATTTTTAGCGAAGTTAGAGAGGCAGGCAACATCCTTTCCGTCTCCTCTTCTGGAAAGGACATTACTTCCAAGCATTTAATAATGCGGAGTGGTCTAAGAGATGTAAACTTGTGCAACCCCCACTGAATTAATGGCTTATAGACAATCACATCTTCAATTGTAAGTGATGTGAGGTTGGCAGAAAACCTTTCTCCAGAGAAAGAATGAGATTCTGGCAGTTGCAAATTCCAAGAGAGCTGAGCCAGTGCATACGATCAGGCAGAGCTAAAAGTTGATCACATCTGCAGAGTGCAACGGTTAGACTGGTGCTGGGAAAGCCTCCATTTGGGAATGAAAAAATATTCCAACAATACCATATAGAAATCAGCTGAAGGTGACTTAGATTGTGTAGGCCCTCACGTATAAATTTAATATAGCAACTGCGGATTGCAATGTCTCGAAGAGATGTATTATTGTGAAAGCTCTATGCTATTGACTCCAATTGTGAACAATTCTTGACCTCTCCAGACAAATCTGATTTATCCAAAAGTGTACAAGCTCTTCAGAATAAATATTTAAATGTTCTACTTTTAGGAAATTTCAGCCCTCCCCAAGATAAAATTCTGGTTTTGCCCCTGTGGAGAACTCTGTCATTACACTGCATTGTCATTAAGCTGAAAACATGATAAGTCATAAATTATAGAGTTAAATTAGGCAAAGGTATAATAGTAGGTATGATCAAACTCAATTATATAAATACCAAACTACTATTAAACTTTTCATTACCTGATATCAGACTTACACACTATCACCTCCATTTCCTCACATATCGTAAAACAGGCTTCATAAACTCTTTGTCTGAATTAAAATAGTATAATTTAAAAAGTTGCAGTCAAATTTCAGATAGAATGTATTACATTCAACTTAACCAAACAGAAAGAAATCCATGCAAAAGCACTAATTACCTTCACTTCAAAATATTACCGATTAAGCGTCTTCTTGACAATTCTGTAACTAAGTATTGATAAGCCAAATTACTAGAAGAGTTGAATGAAAAAATGTTAGTGACAGTTCTCATCAAGTCATGGCACCGATTAACAAAAGCCAACAGAGGGAAAAAATTACAGAATTAAAACAAAAAAAAAAAAAATCATTTAACTAAGGAAAAGGAAAAAGGTCTAGAAACTGCGGCTTCATTGACTTCCAGTTCAACTAATTCAGCAGCTAATTTTTTAGTAACTAATTCAGCAGCTAATTTTATAGTAACTAATTTTAAAGATGTAAGAACCTGACATACCAGGATTAGTGTGTAAGGAAAGAATGAAATAATTCTCTGATGTTATTCTATTTTCTTCATTTCTGAGATAAAGGAGAGCTCATTCTTCCTCCTCCAGATCTGGATCAGAGATGAATCTGCCATCTATTCGAATGCGAGGAATGTGGGCTATTTTGGACCAATCTTGACCTTCAGTCCTTTTGCACCGTTTTTTCAACAACGGACAACCATAGATATATAATTGTAGAAGCGACGATGGTAAGCCTGCCTCTGGAAAGGATGTGAGATTTGGACAATCGCTGATAGACAAATATTCAAGAGCTGAGAGGTTTTTAAAACCCTCAACAGATAGGAATTTCAATCTCTGGAACCTTGCAAGGGTTATCCGAGATAGAGAGGTGGGCAACATCATTGCGTTATCATCTTGTGGAAAAGACACCACATATGGGCATCCTCTGATCTCAAGGTTTCTCAGAGATGTGAGTCTTTGCAAACCCCACTCAAATAGTGGCTTATAAAAATTAAGATCTGCAATAAAAAGTGATTTCAGGTTAGTGGGAAAACCTTCTTCTGGAATGGATGCAATATCTGGACACTGCCGTATTTGTAATTCTTGAAGAAATTTGAGGTTGTGCATGTGGTTCGGCAGAGCTTTAAGTTTCTTACATCTCTCAATTGAAAAAACTCTTAAGCTGGTCTTGGGAAGGCCTTCTTCTGGAAAGGAAACAAGATTCGGGCAATCCCATATATAAAAATCACGAAGACTGCTAAGATTGTGGAGGCCCTCAGGTATGAATTTAAGATTGTTACATTTACAGAGCTTAATATATCCGAGAGAAGTGTTATTGCGAAATCTGTCAGCTATCATCTCCAGCTTTGCACAATCAACAATGTTGAGGTGTTGAAGTGTATCCGGTAACTCGCCTCTGGTTGATAAGGCTGTGAGCTTTGTGCAACTCCAAATCTCAAGGTGTTTAAGTGCCACAAGTTGTTGGCCTATGGATGATATGCTCGTGAGAGATGGGCACTCAGAGATATACAAGTACTCAAGACTAGATGTATCGCTACTGTGCACTGAAAAAGAAGAAGATGAATGAGAAGTACAAGTATTCTCTTTAAAATCCAACAATCGCAGCAATTTTTCACAATTTTTTATCTCAAGCCATTTTAAAGAAAAAGGTAGCTTGTCTTTTACAATGAATCTTAGAGAACGGCAACCTCCAATTCGCAATCTTTCAAGAACTGCATTGTTACCCTGTATTCCCTCAGGCAAGGACAATAGAGCATTACAATTTTCAATCACAAGGACACTCAAATTGGGAAAGAAAGCAGCCTCTGGAAATGAAACAAAACTTGGGAAATTTTCAATATATAGTTCTTTGACAGAGGTGAGGCTGTGTAGCCCTTGTGGTTGCTTCATATGATGAATATCTTTATCCCAGAAACATAAAAGTTCTTCACAATCAACAATCTTCAGATGTTCAACATTATGAAACTCTTGTTTTAACCAATTTCCAACGTCTCTGATATTTGCAAGAGTCATAGACTTCAGTGACTTAGAATCAATCTTTTGACAACTGCACACAATCTCTTTGCATCCATCTATTTCTAGTTTACAGAGCATTGGGAAGCTTGAGAATGAAACCACCAACTGCAAACATTGAAAAATAACAAGCTTATTTAATGAAGGAAGATGACCAGGTAATCTTCCAGAGAGTTTGGGGCATCTTATAATGGAAAGCTCAAGAAGGCAAGGAAAATTTTCAGGTAATCTTCCAGAGAACTTGGGGCATCTTACAATAGAAAGCTCACGTAGGCAAGGAAATCTTTCAACGTGCTCATTTTCTTTGATAGAATCCCAAAGCTCCCATTCATCCAAATCCACTAAAGAAAGAGTCTCCAAACTTTGAAAAGGCTTTGAACAACCTTCCCCATAGATCTCTAGACCTATACTTTTAAGTCCTGTCATCCCCTTGATGGTTAAGTCTTTAAGTGACCCTAAAAGCCCCAAAGAAGGCAAGGATGTAGAGTTTCTACAGCTTTCCAATTTTAGGGTCACCATATTAGAGAATGATGGATCTCCTAACCAAGAAGGAATCTCTTTACCACCATAACCTTTAATAGTGAGCTCTTTTAGATTTCTATGAGGTTGTAGCATGGCAAGTATATCCTTTTCCAGTAGATTATCTCTTGAGTCGGAAAATTGTGAACTCCATTGTAGCGACAATACTTCTAAATCTTTCTTCTCACTTAACAAGGCCTCTCTTGCATCATGAGAACTAGTCACGTTTTCTAATCCTGAAATACGAAGTTTTCCACAAAGGAACTTTAAATTCTTCAATTCTTTCAAACCAGCTCCAGTTTCTTTACCCACAACAAAATCAGACAATGTCCAAAGATGTTTCAGATTTTTTATTCCAATAGGCATTTCTGTTATTAAGTACACATTTGTAATATCGAGATGATGAAGATTGATCAACGTCCCTATTTCCAAAGGCAGTTTCTCGAGACGAGAACAAGCATTTAGAAGCAATGTTTCCAAGTAGAATACTAAACTCAATGAACCTGGTAAACATCTAATTTTAGTGTCAGAAAGATCGAGATACCTTAGAAGCCTCAACTCTCCTATAGAATTGGGTATCTCAGTGATATAATATTTAGATAAAGATAGGGCCCTTATATTTTTTAACTTGGGCAACAAATCAGAAATAACCCTATCAGATATGTATCGACAATGACCATCTAGTGGCAATGGTAAAAATGTCCTTAGGCAATTAACTTTATCTAGAACGTGAAACTTACTTTTACTATCATAAGAACCAGTGATGCAAGAAAAATGACGAACCTTCTCACATCCTTCTGATTGCATATTCGCCTCAAATTCATCCTCTAACATAAAAGTACCACCTCCAGCAGCCCATTCAGCCAGGTCATGAATAAGGTCGTGCATTGTAACAACAGAAGGATCATCTTTCGAAGGTAGAAGCAATGCCTTGGACACTAAGGCATCAATGCATTCACCAGCTAAATCACTCAGCTCCTTCTTTTTCGCGGAGTGAAGAAATCCCTGTGCCATCCACAAATGAACTAATTGCTCCTTGTCAATTTTATAATTCTTTGGAAAAATTGAACAGTAAGCAAAACAACTCTTAAGATGAAATGGAAGATGAAAATAGCTTAATTTTAAGAAAGGAAGAATAACAGTTTTGTCTGAAAAATCCCAAAGTTTGCTATCCAATAATTTCACCCACTCATCCCCACTCTGCTTGAGTCGTAGAAGCCCACCCAAAGTTCTTGCAGCCAAAGGTAGTCCTCTACACTTCTCGACAACTTTTTCACGGATTAATTCCAGATTTCGCAGTCCAGAAACAACTCTGCTCCCACCAACATGATTTTCAAAAATACCCCAACAGTCATCGTCCGAGAGAAGCTTCAAACTGTAAACTTCGCCATTTCCAATCGTTAAAGCAACGTCTCTGCTGCGTGTGGTCACGATCATCCTACTCCCCGGTATGCCACCCATAAGGGGAGATTTTAGAATTTGCCACAGCCCATAATCAGTCGACCAAACATCATCCAAGACCAGCAAAAACTTTCCTCTAGAAATTGCCCCTCTCAGTTGGACCTGCACCTCATTTAAATCCTTGAGATCACAGGATTTGCCAGTGATTGATTCCAGAATTGTCTTGGAGATTCTCAGAACATCAAAATCATGGGAGACACAAACCCATGATTTTAGAAGGAAGTCTTCCACTGACTAATAATTGAAAAACATCAGAACTAGGGTAGTTTTACCAAAACCTCCCATCCCCCATATAAATATAACACAGAAGTTAGCATCACTGGATTCATCTGTCAATAACAAGTCAAGAATTTTGGCTATATCATCATCTCTCCCAATAACAGCAGCTTCAGTTGGCACACATGTGCTGGGTGGTCTTTGCCAACCACCAGTTAAAGAGCCTTCAGCAATTTCTTTCAATCCAAGTCCCTTTTTTTCTTCACAGATATCTTCCAAATGGCCAGTGATCTCTTCTATCTTGGACTTCATATCAAGCTCGATGTTGATTGGTTGTTCCACCACCAAATTCCGCCGAAAAAATTGATAGGAAAGTCCATCCAGGAAATCCTCCACATCATAGGCCAAGACCTGAATATCATCTAACCATTGGCTCACACACACGTTCTTCACTTGCTTCTCCTCCGCATCATTAAGCACTGCCCGAACCGTCAGCAATTGCTTCTTCAGCAGCTTCAGCTCTGAACGCAACCCATCTTCACATCGTTTCAGAGATGCCAATCTCTCAAACAACACTTCAAATATTGGAGATAAAAATATCTCTCCCGTCGGCATGGTTGAACAAGAAGAAAAAAAGATTATCACACAAGAAGAAAAAAGATTATCACGACAAGAAGAAGAAAAGATTATCACGACAAGAAGAAAGAAAGATTATCACAACAAGAAGAAAAAAAGATTATCAAGAGTAACCAATCTCAAATTGCAGATCTGTAAATCGGTTCTCAATAGTCTTCTCTTTTTTTTTTTTGGGTAATTTTTCTTTCTCAGTAGTCAATAATTCATCAAAATCCTAACTTATAGCCATGACCACTGTGAAAAAGTGTACTGATTGTTAACCTAGCCCCACAGTAACGTACTGGTTCACTGGTTATCCTTAGATCGTGGTCCCGTGAACCATGGACCATAATCTACGGCTGTCAACGCCTCTTTTTGGGACCGCATTATCGGTGTTAGCAAAGCCAGTAACGTTACAGGAGATAAGGTAAATCTTTTTGTCTTAACATATAATAATGGGAAAAAGCCACTATTAAATTTAGAAATTTTTTTTGTGGGTCCATCATCCATGTTTGCTAAATAACTATGGGTGCGTTTGATTTATTATTTTGGGTAGAATTTTGGGGATAGTATTGGATAATTAAATATAGTAGTATTAGAGGTAAAATTTAAAAATTTATTAAAAAACCCCCTAAGTTTGCTAATTTCCTAAATACCCCAACATGTAAATTGATAAAAATACCTCCACCACCTGTAGTACCAGATTCCGGCTACCACCGTCAGAATCTGGCCTGAAAATTGCGTTACGACACAGACCGATCAGATCTGTGTCGTAACGCATCATTTTCCAGCTAGATCTACGGCCTGCCGTGGCCGTCGACGGCCGGAAAAGGCCAAAACGACGGTCATCTTTGGCCGCGACGGCCAAAGATATGGCCGTCGTTTTTGGTCAACGATGGCCAAGATTTGGCCGTCGTTGACCTCAACGAAGGCCATTTCTTTGGCCGTCGTTCACGTCCAAATCTGACATTTTTCGACCAAATCCGTGGTGGATCTGACCGAAAAAGGCCAGATCGGTGAACTTCCGTCCATTTATGGTTGGCAGGTTGGCCGTTGTACAGATTCCAGTTACCACCGACGGTGGTTGCAGGAATCTGGCGAGTATGGGTTGTAGGGGTATTTTTGATAATTTTTAAACTTTTTTTTTAGGGTATATTTGATGAAATTAATAACCTTATGGAGTCTAAAAGTAATTAAAAAAATAGATTAATATTCTTGGAATAATGTGCCAAACATTATTTGGAGAATAAGATCCAAAATTTAGATAAAAATAATAAGCCAAACATAGCCTATAATAATACGCATGGCAATCATAATTGTTTAACGATTCCATTTATTCAATCCCCTGAAGTTTAATTAATTACAAAAATGCCTCAAAAGTTTCTAAATTAACATAAAACCTCATGTCTTTAAATTTTACATATTAAAATAAATTGTAAATGGGCAATTCGATAAACATCTATAAACTTCTAAAGGTGTATGTTAAGATGATTCACTAAACTTATCTATAAATTTGTAAAAATGTATGTTCATCCACTAACCTTGTACTAATGATAGAAAACATTTATAATTATAAAAACATGATATGGTAAAAATCTATAAACTCGAAAAGGTGTATGCTCGGACAGTTTACTAACCTTGCACTGACAGGTGACAGCAGAAAAAATTTATAATTTCTGAAATATCAGAGAGTTTTTTATAATTACATCAAACTTGAGGGATGAAGGCCTTTTAAACTCTTTATTTAATTGATTGCTTCCTAGTAAAACCGCGTGGTCTCCACCATTTGACGTTTTGTTTGTAGCATCTTCTAATATCCTGTCAAAATATTCTTTTATTTAGTTTGGTTTAGGCATGGGAATACTATTATTAATATTCACCATAAAGTTAAACCCTAAATATGATTTAGGTTCGTTTGATTCACTATTGAGAATACTAATAAAGTTAAACACTAAAAAATAGCTTATTTTTAAAATATTATTCTATATTATTTAATTTCTTTTAAACCCTCCTAAATTTATTAATTTACTAAATATCCTTAAATATTTTTTTTAGAAATTACAAAAATACTCCATCATGGGTGGGTTAAAGGTATTTTTGTTAACTTTTAATATTTTATTATAGAGGTGTTTAGTAAATAAACAAACATATGGAGTATTTTTGTTAATTTTTAAATCCTACATTGTAATACCCGTCTAATTTAACTTTTTTCAAAATATTATTCTAAAAACTATCAGAATAATGAACTAAACGGACCTTATTTTCAAAATATTATTCTATATTATTCAATTTCTTTTAAACCCCCCTTAATGTGTTAATTTAACTAAATACTCCCAAATATTTTTTTTAGAAATTGCAAAAATACTCCGACCACCCTTTGGTTATAGTGGCCGGCTGTCCGTATTTAATGGGTGGGTTGGGGGTATTTTTGTTAATTTTTAATATTTTATTATAGGGATGTTTAGTAAATAAACAAACATAGAAGATATTTTTGTTAATTTTCAAATCTTACATCGTAATACCCGCCTAATTTAACTTTTTTCAAAATATTATTCTAAAAACTATCAGAATAATGAACCAAACGGACCCTTATCTTCAAGTTTTGTGTTCAAGTACCCAAGGACCAATTCTGATCGTTCATAGTCAAAATGAAAAAAAATAAAAAATAAAAATTATTCACAAGTCAGCGGTGAAAATGAAAATTCTAAATAATGAGACAATATTAATTAAATACTCGGAAGTTATAGCCATCCAAATTTTTACTGACTATAAAATTTATGAACATTCCATTCTTCAAAGCACCTCTTTCATGTCACTAGGCATGCATATTCATAGTAAGTTGTCAAGTTCTTTCAGAGAGTAGGGCACGTACAAAAGAAGAAACTAACACCATCTCAAAGCATTAGAAATTAATATTTCTCTCCTATTTTGTAATGCTTTTTTTTTTCTTTTTCTTTATCTCATACTTTTTTAAGAGAAAAAATAAAAACCTACCAAGAAATTCTATGTACAAAAAAGTATACAATGAACTTGATTGGTATTCCTGTAACTAACAAGAAGTCAGTGACCCTAGACAAATGGGGTTTCAAAATCTTCATCCATGACTGCTCGTTTGACACAAGAACTGAAAGTGTCGCCCATTGGAGCTTGTACCCCGTTGGACGCAGATGACAGGGCCACAATTTGAACAAATCAACACTATCTTTATTTATCTGCTATATGCTTTCTTTTGGTCTCGTATGATCTTGTAATCGCTAGAAAGAAAAAAGAAAAGAGAGCAATTAGGGCTTCAAAGAAATTCTATGTATAGAGTACAACAAAGAAACTTGAATGGTATCCTTGTACCTAACAAATCAGGAAGGATCCAAAAATTTCTGTTATGGTGGATCAACATAAAAACTAATTACACATTAATATTTTTGTCTATTAATATTTTTTTTAGAGTGGGTCAAAATCCAGAAATTATATATATTAGTATTAAAAAAAAAAAAAAATCCAGGGTGAGCCAAAAACTAGGCTGGATCCGCCCCTGCTAGCAATGATTCAGTGACACCGGACATTGTACTCAACAGCGGCTTCTTTATATTACCACCACTGCTTGAAACAAGTTTCAAAAGTAGCGCAAATGGTCGGGTCCTCCCATTGCAGGCCGTCCCACCATTGTTGCTCTCCCTTGATAACAATTCTTCCTTCTTTTGAGCTTTCAGAATCAAGCGGAAGCTTCTTGAGCTTAGGGCATCCGATAACTTCAATTTCCTTCAAATTGGGGAAGGGCAAGGCAGTCTGATTGATTCTCTGCAAGTTTTGAAGATCTCGTATTACAATAGATTCTAGTTTTTGGAATGGGATACGACCTCGCACCCTTTCTGGAAATTCACCCAGTCTCCCAACACTGATAAGGTCTTCCATATCAGAGCAATTAGATATCAAAATACGCCTGAGGCTTTTTGCAAGAATAAGCCATGTGAGGTGCTTCAGGTTTGAGCAAGACTTTATGTTTACTTCGCGAAGGTTACGGAAATCACATATTTGGGCGTTTTCTCCGTCTTCACAATTAATCTGCAACTCTTCCAAATATTCACAATCCGAAATATGTAATCTCTCGAGATTCTTCAAATCTGCTAAAAATATTTGGATGGACCTATGGGTTAAGTTTTGAAGGGATAAAGATTCCAAACAACTCACCAAACTGCGGGAGCTCAGAAGTCTTTCGAGAGCTGGAGGACTTCTTATTCTGATGTCCAAACTATTCAAACGTCCCAAACGAAGCAGCTCTTCTATCGAAAGTACTCCATCTAGATCCATTCTCAATGTCTGTAACTTTGGGAAGTTGGATAACAGATGTTGCGAATTTGTTTGGAGTTGAGATTTGACAAGGCTTTCAACTCTTCTGGCAATTCTTTGACCCCGGTGCTTGATAGATCAAGATGCTTCAGCGAAATCACTTTTGAAATCTCCGGCGGTAGTTCAGTGAGGGAGGGATTATTTGACAGATTTAGAAGAGTTATAGGCAATTGAAAGATTCAAAGGAAGAAGAGAGGAAGAAGCAATAGAGTGATGGCTGAGGAGTGCAATGGAAAAGACAAAAGCTTCGGTATTGAGAGGGAGCTTTGGCAAATTGGCAGGGTAGTGGAAAGAGAAAAAACTTTTAGGACTACATTGTGTTTTGTAAAAGAGACCTAGCCAAAAACAAAGAGCAAACGACATGTTCCCACTTGAATTCATATATTCTAGATTTTCACTTTTAAATTGAGAGAAAATTGTTTTATATAACGGTCAACGGTAAAGTGGTCATTTGTAAATCCAAGCAAACCCAAATTCAAAACACAAAAATCCTCTCACAGTAGCCGCCCACCATGGCCTAGTCGACTCCCATAACTCTTCAATCGTATGGTGAGTCGAAACAATGCGAAGTGCGATCAAAGCCAATCATTCAAAAATCCAAATCAAAGCAAAATCCAATCAAATCGAAGCCAAAAACAACTAACAAAACACAACCC